GGGGTCCTTGGGGCCCTGGCTGTGGACCTGCTGAGGCCATTTTCCTGCGGCCTCCCTGTGCGTCTTCTCGTCTTGTGGAAATGCCAGCTAGCAATAGCTGGAAGAAACAGAGGTATCCTAGCTTGTTTTCTCCCTGCACCCCCACCCAGATGGTGATGATTTGGGGGGGCTTACGAAATGTTAAAGATACAGTTCTTTGGTCCACGGCGCCTCTCTCAGCCACACGGTCCCTGGTCCTGTCTTGCTCAGTCCAGCTGACAAAATTCCATGAGGATGGATGAATGCCCAGGGTGCCACCCTCGGTCTGTCGGTGGGCCAGGAAGCCCCGTCTTGCTGTCCCATGTGCCCCGAGTTGACTCTCCTTTCTGTGTGGCTCTGCACAAGGAGCTAACTCCCAGGCTGGGTTGGACACCCATGCCTGTGGCTCACCGTTCCTGGGGGCTCAGGGACAGCCCTCGGGGACCTTCTGCTTGATTGCCCCTGCTGCCCCGGGGCAGATGGAGCGGGAGGAAGGGAGCAGAGCAGGCAGATAAACCAGAGGGCCTGGACTGCACTGAGTGGCTGGTCTGCCCTTAGAACCTCCAAGCCCAGGATGAACTTGTAATTCTTGTTCCTCGTCCTAACTTTGAGACCAGAACTCTCACATGATGGCAGAACTTTGCTCCATGTGGAAGGCCATACCCACTCACCCCAGGCTCCTGCTGTACTAATGGCGGTCGCTGTCTCCCTGTCCAGGTATGGAGAGAAGGGAAAAGCCATCCGGATTGAGAAGGTCATCTACACCGGGAAAGAGGGCAAGAGCTCACGGGGCTGCCCCATTGCAAAGTGGGTAAGTTCAGGGTGCCGCAGGGAGGCGCGAGGAACTCTCCCGGACCCCCGGCCTCACTCGGCTGAGCGGGCTGTGGACCAGCAAGGGGCTGGGTCAGAAGCAGGCGGGTTTTCCGACCAGGGGAAGAGACCCTTGGAGCTGCCCTTTGGGGCCTGGCAGGGTCATTTTCTCTCCAACCGCACAGTTCTCTGTCTACACGTGGCCTCTGACCTATGGGGCTGCCTCCGAAGCTCCTTGATTACTCTTCACGCTGCGCTCACACTGTCCCCGTGTTCAGGGCTCTGAGAAGGGGAAGCTGGACATGCTGTCATTCACTTGGCCCCACATGGGCCACTTGCCTTCTCCCCTCGGTTTGCTGTGGTGGGAGCTGCCAGCATTCCTGTCTCCTGCCGAGAAGAGAAATGGAATGGAAAATGAGCATGCTGAGACCAGCCTGGGGGTGAGGCTGGGGTTCTGACGGCCACGGTTTCCCACGGGGAGCCAGGGAATGGCAATGACCAGAGCTGACCTTGCCTTTCCCGCCCACAAAGAGATCTCCATAGCTGAGCCCATGCTCTCCCAGAACCAGCGCTCTGGGAGCACCGGGCATGCCTGTGTGCCCGGCCCCGGGTGGGAAGGTTCTGTCCCTGGGCTCAGACCACGCGAGACTGGGATGAATGGGCCCATCCCTCAGAGGCAGGCTCCATGTCGTGTTCACGGACCGGAGGGTCATGAGTGGCGGTAGAGAGGAAGCGGGCAGGCTAGGTTTCCCAGGGAAAGTGCATGCCTGAGTCCTGCTCGCAGGTCCCAAGGGGTGGGCTGCGGAGGGGCTAGGAGATGTGTGGGGTCAGAGGCAGGGAGGCTGGGTGTCCGCCCCCTCGGCTGAGTGTGGGGGCAGAGGCAGTACGGTGTCCGTGGTTGGCACGCGTCTGTCCATCCATCTGTGCACGCACCGGTTTCACCAGGTGCGTGTTCACGCCATGCCTGCACTCAGTGAAAGTCAGGGGCTCTGTAGCTGTTTGCGTCTGTTGCAGAGCTATTTGAAACAGCAGAATTTGGGGCACCTTGGAGAGCCCACAGGCGTGAAGAGACCTGTTGTCCGTGGGCATCACGTTGGGTGCACAGCCAGTCCTGGGTGATGAGCCTGCTGGCCAAGGTGGGCAGCCTGCTCCCTGCTGCCTCATGCAGCCCTTTGGGAACCCCAGTTTGGGGCAGGAGGCTGAGCCCTTTGGATTCTTTCCCAGCTAGAATTAGAGGCTTCTGAAGTCACTGGCTCACTGGGGAAAGAAAAGAGCTGGTACCTGAAGGTGCTTCTCCAGACCCGGGGTACAGGTGGCAGGGCACTAACTTCCAGGGTGCTGTCTTTCCTTCAAATGTTTACAGAGAAGTCCACTTCTCAGTGGACGGACAGTATGACAGCCCTGGCTTCCAGTCCGCCCTGGTGCCCGTCATTTCCTTTGGGCTGTCTGCGCCTCCCTGCATCGGGCACAGCCACGGACCTGTGATGCTGCACGGTTGCGCTGTCACACCTTCTCTCAGGTGCCACTGTTTATATTCTCGGCCTGTCTCTTGTTCGGGCTCTGGAAATCAGGCATTGACTCCCCACCAGGGGTGTCTCCTGGAGTCTGGGAGGAGGTTGCTGACCAGGTTGCGCAGATCCAGTGTTGGTGACTATGGACCAGGGAGGGCCCAGAGCTACTGCAGCCTGGTGGCTGGGGGGACCACTGAGCCCCCTGCTGCCTGGTGTCACTTTGAAGGAAAAGACCAGGTACACAGGGGTATGTGGGATGACGGTGTTCCCAAGACACGAGTCTAAATAAAGACAGGCAGAGAGGGGAAGTGGAGGGATAACTTTCTTACCGTAAGGGCAAAGGTCACAGACTGACGATGCCAAGAAATGCTGAACTTGGGTGGGTTGTGTTTTTTCTTGCCATCTCCAGGTGGCAGACTTCAATTTGGGGGCTTATTTTGGCTGCCACATGCCCTTCGTATATTGGTGGGAGGGCTCTCCTAAGAGTTCTGCCTCCTTCAGAAGTCAGATTGGCATGTGGGTTTGGCACGCACACGCCCCAGGCCCTGGCGGGGCACAGCCCACAAGCAGGAGTTCTCGTGGTCTGTCTTTCTAACAGAAGTCAGAGGCAGGCATTCCGTGTGGTAGGTAGTCTCCTGTGACGGCTTGGCTGGGCCAGCTCCTTAATCCAGCACCCAAGACTGCAGGCCTTTGCTCCGCAATGCCACTGGAGAAGCAGGCACCTGACGGACAGTCGGGCGTGGCAGGAGAGGCTCTGTATGGGAAGTCCCGTGGGTGGGCATTATGAGGAGGCAGCTTTGAGCATCTTGGGGGAAGCTCAGTGCTCAGGGGTTCCTGCCCAGGAGCTGGTGAGGTGGCTCTGATCTGTATCTGTGGCTGGGGGCCTGTGTGCATGACGGCGTGCCTATGGTTGGCCTTCTCTTGGCCATAATTACTTCCTTGCACGTCCTCTGCCGGGTTCCTGCGCCGAGGGCAGGCAGGAGCTACCTCTGGTTTCTCATGGTTTGGGGCAGGAATCCACACAGGCTGGGAGGGAGGGGGTGGCCCAGAGAGCTGCCTGCTTGTGCCCAGACCCTTTGTCTGCTCCCACTCGGGAGACCCGAGGGCTGGTCGTGGCATCAACCTCACTTCTGGTTCCAGCAGGTGCATGTTGGTGCCCACGACAGAGCCACGGGGGGGAGGGAGGGGAGTCCTGACCTCGAGTGGTAATTGAGCGTCAGCGTGTGTGCGGCTGATCTCCAAACGGATTCAGTGTGCAGCCACACGGTGGTCTTTGGAGCCACAGCTCGTGGCCAGCAGCGGGCTTCGTTTTGCTCGCAAACGCGTTTCTTTAGCTCACATTCAAACCTCGAGTATTTTAAAGGGGAGGCTTGGAATAAAAATGCGAGTGTCCACGTTTCCCTGCAGAAATGGGAACGTTGGAAGCACTGGGGGTTGCGACCCCTTTGGGGGTTGAATGACCCTTTCACAGGGGTCGCCCAATTCATAACAGTACCATCATGACAGTGATGAAGTAGCAATGAAAATAACTTTATGGTTGGGGGTCACCACCACATGAACTGTATGGAAGGTGGAGAACCACTGCTCTACAGAGTGCTTGGCAGGGGCAGGCCTGGCTTTCCCTCTCGTGACAAGACTTGGTTCTGATCCACAGCGCGCTCCAGTCTCATGACGGCTCCACGTTCTACTCTGGCCGCCCTGTGGGCAGCTTCCTACGCAACCACACCCAGTCTTCCCCGCACCCCAGATCCTTCGGGTGGGCCATTGGAACTGTCCGGTCAAGTGCTCCAGAGTCCCTCTGCTGCGATAGCCAGTTTCGGTTGGCTTGTTCATAAGGGACAGCCGTCCCCTGCCAGCCTCCTGGCCCCTGAAACACCAGCTTCTTTAACCCTGCTCTCTGCCTGTCAGCCCTCCGGCCACTCTGCCCACCGCCCTCCCCAGACCTTCACTGTTGTTTGGGGAGACTGCCTTCCTCGGCCCCCACGGCATCCTCTGTCCTGACTTTCTGAAAGCCACGGTGCTGTTTGAGGAAGGAGTGGAGCAGGAGGTGGGATCTGAGGAGCTGACCAGCAGGCAGCCTTTTCTCTGCATGTTTTAGGACAACTTTTTAAATCTCTTGAACATATTTTGGTTTACAGTATTATCTGTTATTTCGTTCTTCAGCCTGTATGATTCACCCATCACTTGGATTTTACCCTGATTACTTTTCATCTTGCTCATGCAAAAAAAACAAAACCTGTGCTTCACCTTCCCTGATTTTCCATCTCTTGGTACCAGTGGTGGCTGTGTCCAGAGTTGACGTTCTCAGGACACTGCCCTGAAACCCGGGCCTGATGGGCAGAGGCGGGGCCAGCTCCTCAGCCTGTCCCTTCTTCCGTCCGCCCCTGCCCCCTGCAGGTGATCCGCAGACACACGCTGGAGGAGAAGCTGCTGTGCTTGGTGCGGCACCGGGCGGGCCACCACTGCCAGAATGCCGTCATCGTCATCCTCATCCTGGCCTGGGAGGGCATACCCCGCAGCCTCGGGGACACCCTCTACCAGGAGCTCACCGACACCCTCCGGAAGTACGGGAACCCCACCAGCAGGAGATGCGGCCTCAATGACGAGTACGTGGGGGGGGTTAGCAGCGCAGGGGGCCTTCTGTGGGGGGAGGAGGGCCGACCCTGAACTGGGCTTGCCTTGGCAGGGGTGAGGCTCTGACCATGCCTCACTGTTAACCCCAGGTGGGTCTGCGCTCTAATGACGCTACTGAGTGAGGAAATGTGCAGATACCCCTTAGATGGAAGATGTGGCCGATGATGCAACCTGCTTTTAGATGTGTTGTTTTAAATTGTGTGTGTGTGTGTGTGCACGTGGGTGTCCAGTTTATTGCGTCGATTGTGTTGTGCATCTAGCACCGATAGCCATCACCAAATGTCCTACTACTGAGTGTTTCCTAACCAGCGAGCCCCACCACCCCTGGTAATTACGGATAGACTGGTCTCTGGGCGGCACCCGGCCAAGCCGAGTTAGTTCTTAGGCCCAAGGCAGTGTTTCTGCTCCTCTGCTGGGCTCCCTGCACGTGATGACGTCAGGCTCGCGTGTGGGGCTTCATCGGCACTGCCTTTCTCTCCCGGCTCACTGATGTCTCCGTGCACCTTTTCTTTCTTCTTTTCCCCCCTCTGCGCCCTGAAGGCATCATGTACTTACAGTATCCCTCACACTTTCAGAAAGATCGTTCTGGGCTTTTTGACAAGGTGTTTATAGGCCCAGGACACCGACACCTCCCCACCCCACACACACCCAAGTTCCCTTGTGCCTGGGATAGTGCACCCAGACCACAACTTCTCACAGACACTAGACCACCAAAACAGCACAAGCTGTTTATCTTAAACTAAGCACACACCCTGAAATATCCTCATTTTTATTTATTAACATCATTTTATTGGGGGCTCTAACAACAATGCATACATCAATTGTATCAAGCATATTTGTACATATGTTGCCATTATTTTTTACTTTTTTGGGGGGGTACTCTTATAACTCTTGTCACAATCCATACATCGCTTGCTTCAGGCGAGGCGAATTTGTACATATGTTGCCTTCATTCTTTTCTAGATATATGCTTCCTATTGAGTCCTTGGTATCAGCTCTTTTTTCCCCCACCCTCCTTGAAATATTCTTCAAATCAAGCAATACTTTACACTTCTGTACTAAAAATAAAAGTCTGCCTGGAGTATGACACCCTTAAGAGCCATCTGTGTGGGATCAGATGACAAGAGGTGTGTGTGTGTGTGTGTGTGTGTGTGTGTGTGTGTGTGTGTGTGTGTGTCAGAGAGTTTATGTGAAAGAGGAGGAGCCACTCCAGAAAGCAAGGTGAGAATTAAGTCCACAGCTCAACGAGCGGAGTCAGCCGCTAAGTCTCACCTGGAGCGACTGCTGAATCAGCATGCAGGTTGCTGTGTCGTCTGAACAACAGACAGGAATTTGGGAGTGGGGCAGGCCTGTCACGTTCTAGATCCTTAGGATAAACCTTTGGTTTAGAGTTCATTCCCCAGGTTGTACCTGGTGCGTAGTGCTAAGGCCAAGGGTGAACCTTTTGGGGTTTGGGGAAGCCGCTCCGTGCTGCCCATCTCACCCAGCCCGGGTGCTTCTACCCACATGTCTGGGTTAGAACCTCCCCTTGTGGGGTGGTGGTGAGGACAAACCAGGCTGCCTCAGGCTGGCTTTCCACCCAGAGAAACTCAAGAAAGGAGTTGGCAGTGGGAAGGGCCCCGCTTCCTGAGTGGGCACAGCAGGGAGGGTGTTCTCTGGGCCTCACCTGGGCTGTTCCTGCAGCCGGACCTGCGCTTGCCAAGGCAAAGACCCCAACACCTGCGGTGCCTCCTTCTCCTTTGGCTGCTCCTGGAGCATGTACTTCAACGGCTGCAAGTACGCCCGGAGCAAGATGCCCCGAAAGTTCCGCCTCACGGGGGACAATCCCAAAGAGGTGAGTGGCGCTTTGGCACAGTGCGACACAGATGCCTCTCCACCTGGTGTGTGGACACGTCCAGGGATGGGCAGGGCACTCGCTTCCTGTCATCTGCCCTCCTTCGACCTGCCTCCTTTCTCTGTGAAACAAGCTATGTGGAGGGAGGGACAGGTGGAAAATTTGGCCTTTCAGTGAGCAGCCCAACGGGTGACCTCTGGAGCCCTGGGCAGAGGGTGGGGGGTGAGGACTGATAACGGGGCTGCGAGCTGCAACACCAGTGCTCCTCGGGGAAAGAAGGGGCTTTCTACTCCTGTAAAGAGTTGGTGTCTCAGAAACCCACGGGGACAGCCGGGTGGCTGGAGGTCTGAACGGACAAGGCATCAAGGAGTTGGGAAGGGGTTGAGAGTTCATTTGTATCCTCTAAAAAAATTATTTCTTCATACCCATCTTTTGGGTGCAGGAGGATAGCAGGGGGTGGGGGTGGGGCTCTGGCCCTTGAGCCACCCCCTGGCCCCTCCTCCTGTCTGGGGCTGGTGTCCTTTCGCCTCTGCAGTTGTCGGTCCCAGCCCTCGCAGGACCTTGCATGTGGGGCTGGCACCACACAGCCCCACCTCTGTTCTCCTGGGGCCCCGGCAGCATGAGCTCAGGCCAGCTCCCCTTGGCAGTTTCTTTGGTGGTGGTGCTGTGCGGGCATCCTGAGTGGCAGCCTCTCAAGAGGGTTCTCCACACACAGACGGTGCACCCGGGGCTTGGTCATCTCACCCCAGAAGAGCAGCAGCTTGATAGCCTTGTCGGGACTTGGAGAATCTCCCCTATCTCCTCCTGCTAGTATGGGGAAGGTCCTCTGTGCCCCTGCCCCCATTGAGTCTTGACTTTCATAGCCAAGGGCTCCCACGTTAAAAGGATGTTCAATTTCAGAGCACTCTTCCTTCCGCCAATCGCGTGAGCTGAAAGTAGCCTGATTTCACGTTCTCTCCCAGAAGCAGCAAGTGCAGTTGCTTCAGTGAGTGGAGGAGCCCCCCCAGGGCCACCAGGAGTTAGCAGGAATGAAAATAGCATTACTTTGGCTTCTCACAACTACTCCTGGTTCTATCAGCCACCGTGCCTGCCGGCCATCACTACATACTAGCTGCAGTGCTGAGCCTCTCGCAGGCGTCTGATCTGTTCATGCGGTCCATGACCTTCCAAGGCCACGTGGCTGACATTGGTGACAGAGGAACTTAATCCTGGTTCCTCTTCTGGGGGCAGTGGCTGGGAGGTGGTTGGGCAGCCCTGGATGGCTCAGCCACCGGTTCCTCTTCCCCCTTACCAGTCCTTGTTCTTTCTCTCTCCCCTCCTCCCCCTGCTTTCTCTGCCCATGCTCAAGGTCAGCCTGTGAGACCCCTTGCTACCCGTGGAGGCCTGCAGAGAGGCAGTGGCCGCCCGGGGGGTGGGAGCTGCTGCGCGGTCCCCGAGCTCACTCGCTCTCTGTGAGGACAGAGAAGCTCTCTGCACAAGATTCCACCCTGTGCCATTGACATTGGCACCAGGTGGGGAGGGGGGACAGCCCAGCAACTAGGTTTTTACCTTTCCATCAGAATTTCAGTAGCCACCACACTGGGGCAGATCCAGAGGAAACAGTTCTAAACTGCCTGGCTTGAGGGCCAGCCATGAGCACTGCGCTCTGCCGCTAGTTCCCGTCTGGCCCGAGGGAAGAAGGAGCCGTGCCCAGGGCTCAGACTTCTGCATGGATCATACAGCGGAGTCTCCCAGAGTGGGCGATGCAGCCCTCTGGTGGGTGCTGGGATGAGCCCGGGTGCTGCAAAAGCAGATACCTACACTATATAGTTGGAGGGGGGGGCTGAGTAATTTATTTAGTAATTTATACGGTTGGGGATCTGTAGACTATCACCTAGAAAGAGCATTTGCATGGCGGTCGGGATGCCGAGCCTCTAAAAGCCAGCAGTGCTGCCTCTGCCTCATCGGGGCCACCCAGCTGTGGCCCGGGGGAGCTGTCCTCCATTGCCACCCGGGGCCACCCGGCCCTTCTCCCAAGGCACCTCTAGGTGGACTCTGCCACCCAGGGACACCACTGGCCCTGCAGGCAGTGTTTTTTCCTGGCAAGCTCCAGTGTCGCCATCTGTAAAATAGATGTAGCATCCAGCCCTCGCTTCGCCTGCCCACATTCGAGTGGTTCGTTTGCAGCGTGAACAGCCTGCCCAGCCTGCCCCTGGCTGAGTGATGGCTGCCCTTCTCTCCGTAGGAAGAAGTGCTCCGGAAGAGTTTCCAGGACCTGGCCACTGAAGTCGCTCCCCTGTACAAGCGGCTGGCCCCCCAGGCCTATCAGAACCAGGTACTGAGTCCCAGGCCTTGGTTCACCTGGGTGGGGGGGCGCAGCAGGGGAGTGGGCTCCTGTGTGTTTTCTTCCCGTCAGCGCTGAGCCCAGATTGGAGGGGACGATCCTTTATACTATGCTAACGGGATTGTCCCCACCCACTCCTGAACTGCTGTGGAGATGGGCCGGGGGATAAGCCAGAGGGACCAGAAGTCCTCTCCCCCACGTGCCCCGGGCTCTGACTGTTCACCTCCCTCCACTGGCCACGGCCTGGCCTCTCCAGGCAGTCCGAGGGCCACTCACTCAGTCCTCCCTGGCTGTCCACACAGGTGACCAACGAGGAAGTAGCAATCGACTGCCGCCTGGGTCTAAAGGAAGGGCGGCCCTTCGCGGGGGTCACGGCCTGCATGGACTTCTGTGCCCACGCCCACAAGGACCAGCATAACCTCTACAATGGGTGCACCGTGGTAAGGAAGCTGTGTCCTGTCATTGCCACGGGGGAGGGGCAGGAGCCCCGCTGTGTCTGCAGACAGGCTGGGCTCAGTGGGAGGCATGGAGGTGGCCGGCCAGACTGCCTGCTGCTGCCCCTTCTCACCAGAAAGAAGGGCCAGGGCTAGTTGTATGCATGTCTTAGGTGCTTAAGCATTCGCTATCGAGCAGGTCAGCGGTTCAAGCCCCCCAGAAGAAAGATAGGGAGGTGTGCTCCTGTAAAGATGAACAGGCTCAGAACCCCTGGCTCCAGAGGGTCACTGAGTCAGAATGAGCTCAGCCGCAGTGGGTTGAGTTGGTTCTGCTTTGGTTCTGCATCCTGAGCAGGCCACAAAAGGCCGGTCCCTGGGCACCTGGGGTCTCCCATCTGTCGACAGTGTGACTCCAGGTCTCGTGACTAAGGGATTGGATTGAACTGAATCTGTTGCGCTAGTGTTTGTTTTGCCATGAAGCGTATAGAGTCTCTGCCCAAGTGAGGAATGGTGCCCAGTAGTGGGGAGGGCCATAAGGTGAAGATGGAACAAGCAGGTAAAGGGTCAAGCGACCAGAGGTGGTGTTGTAGACGCCTCTCGGAGCTGAGACCTGAACAGGTGAGTGGAAGGCCTGGAGCATGGGCTCCACGCAGAAGGACCAGCCTCTGTTCTTTGAACAGCCAGGGTGTCAGTAGAGCAGGAAGCAGGTCAGCACAGAGGAGGGTGATGAGATGGGGGCCAGGCAGAGGCCAGGGCAGAGAGCCCAGGAGGCTCGGGGGCGCTGTGGCCTTAGCAGCGCTGGGTTTGGTCATCGTTGAAGGCTTTTGTTGTTCTTTTCTTTGGTTGTCCCGCTTGTTTTTGAAAACGTATGTACGTGAACTGCCTTCAAATATGTATTTTTCTACAAGTTGCCTTGGGCCTAGGGGTTCCCACATTTCCCTGAGGATCTCTCTGACGTCTTCCCCCTGCATGGCAAGCACATGATCTAGACTCTCTAAGGAGGCTGAACATCTTTTCCTCGTCTTGCTTGTTTTCCGGCACTTGTCGGCTGTCTTAGAGGGGCCCTGGTGACGAGGTTGTTAGGGCTCCACCAACCCAGAGGTGATCTGCCCAGATGCACCTTGGCTGCACAAGAGAAGGGACCAGGCAGTGGGCTCCTGGTAGGAGGAGTAATGGCAGGGGTGGTGAGGATGACAGTAGTAGTAATAGTGGTGGTGGTGGCAGTGGCAACTGTAGCAGTAGTGGCTGTAGCGGTGGCAGTGGTGGCTGTGGCGATAGGGGAGGAAGTCGTGATGGTTGTGTGCCATGGGGTTGGTACCAACTCTGTCTGACCTTACAGGACAGAGGAGAAAGGCCATGTGGGGCTGCCAGGCTGTGACCTCCTTACTCCACCAGGCAGATTAACCACGATTAATATGTTTGTCAGGAAACTCCAGGCAGCACCAGAGGAAGCAAGGCCGGGCGACTGGAGGGGGCTGGAACTCTGTGGGAAGGAGAGGCTCAGGCACGTAGGGTTCTCTTCCCTCGGGGCAGGTCTGCACTCTGACCAAGGAAGACAATCGCTGCGTGGGCAAGGTCCCCGAGGACGAGCAGCTGCACGTGCTACCCCTGTACAAGATGGCCAGCACGGACGAGTTCGGCAGCGAGGAGAACCAGAACGCCAAGGTGGGCAGCGGGGCCATCCAGGTGCTCACTGCCTTCCCCCGAGAGGTCCGGCGCCTGCCCGAGCCCGCCAAGTCGTGCCGCCAGCGGCAGCTGGAAGCCAGGAAGGCAGCAGCCGAGAAGAAGAAGGCCCAGAAGGAGAAGCTGAGCACTCCCGAGAAGATCAAGCAGGAGGTCCTAGAGCTGGCCGGTGTCCCTGCTGACGCAGGTATGGGGAGAGGGCACAGGGCTGTGAGGGCCTCAGAGACCCCCACTCCCCCCGGTGCCCGGTGCCCGCTGGGAGCTCTCTGGGGCTGCCACCCAGTCCGGCCCTGCCCTGGGCAGGGGATACAGAGTTTGCAGTTGCACAAGCCCCTTGGCCTCCGTGCCCTGGGCACGTTAGGTGTGGCATGACGGACATGGGTCACCTCTGTCGATCAGCGCAAGCTTGGTCTTGGCTCCAGGCGTCACCTGGCAGGTCACCCCGGCTCCTTCCTGGAACCTGGCATGCAGAAGCGCTGTCCAGGGTCTGTGGTCTGTGGAGAGGAGTGTGGGGTGGGAACCTTCACATGGGGGTGGGGTCCACGTGGCGCATCCGGGGAGGGCCGGGGGCCATGGAGGCTGCAGGTGCCGTCTGTCACCATGCAGCACCGTGAATGTGCACCGCCTCTAGCCATGAAGGCTCGTGGTTCTAGTCCACTGGGAGGCACATTGGAGGGAGGAGAGCCTGGCAGCCTGCTTCCAACAGAGCAGCCTTGAGAGCGCTGTGGGGGGTGGCTGGGAGCTGGCGGGTCCAGGCCCTGGCAGGGGTGCCTATGCCCTGTGCTGCCTGATGCAGAAGAGGGCCCCCGAGGCCCCTCTCCAGGCTGTGCGCCCCCTGCTCCTTCTCACACTGACTTCTCTCTCCCCAGGCCTCTCTCTGAAGGGTGGGCTGTCCCAGCAAGCCCTGAAGCCCTCCCTCAAGGGGGAGCCCCAGAGCCACTTCAACTCCTTCAAGTACAGCGGCAACGCCGTGGTGGAGAGTTACTCGGTGCTAGGCAACTGCCGGCCCTCCGACCCATACAGCATGAATAGCGTGTACTCCTACCACTCCTACTACGCGCAGCCCGGCCTGCCCTCGGTCAACGGGTTCCACTCCAAGTACGCGCTCCCATCGTCCTTCGGCTTCTATGGCTTCCCGGCCAGTAACCCCGTCTTCCCCTCTCGATTCCTAGGCCCTGGCGCCTGGGGGCACAGCGGCAGCAGCGGCAGTTTTGAGAAGAAGCCAGACCTCCATGCTCTGCACAACAGCCTGAGTCCGGCCTACGGCGGTGCCGAATTTGCCGAGCTGCCCGGCCAGGCTGTTGCCACCGACACCCACCACCCCACCCCTCACCACCAGCAGCCTGCTTACCCAGGCCCCAAGGAGTATCTGCTTCCCAAGGTCCCCCAGCTCCACCCAGCCGCCGGCGACCCCTCGCCTTTTGCCCAGGGCACCAGCTGCTACACCAGAGCCATCAAGCAGGAGCCAGTGGACCCGCTGGCCCAGGCCGAGCCCTCTGTGCCCAGAGACCCCAGCACGATGAGCAAGACCCCTTTGCCCGAGGCGTCTCAGAACGGGGGGCCCAGTCACCTCTGGGGACAGTATGCAGGGGGGCCAGGCATGTCTCTCAAGAGGACTACCAGTCTGGGGAGCGGCTGGGGGGTGCTCCCTCCTGGAGACAGCCCGGCCATCCTCTCCGACAAGCTTGGCTCTTTCGGGGCCCGCTGCCTGACCCCCTCGCCCTTCCCAGAGGGCCAGTGGGGGCTGTTTCCTGGTGATGGGCAGCAATCTGTCCCCCAGTCCGGAGGACGGCTGCGAAGCAAACCATGGAGCCCTTGCCAGTTTGGGGACAGTGCCTCGGCCCTGAGTGGGCCCAGCGTGACGGAGAAGCCATGGGGCATGGGCGCAGGGGATTTCCACTCTCCCCTGAAAGGCGGCCCTGGGTTCCCGGAGAAGCTGTGGAGCCCCGGGAAGGGGGAGGAGGGACGGATCCCAACCCCGGGCACTGGGCAGCTGGACAAAGCCTGGCCACCCTTCAGCGTGTCCCTGGGCCCCAACGAGAAGCTCTTTGGGGCCTTGAAGCCAGAGGAGAAGCTGTGGGACCCCTTCAGCCTGGAGGAAGGCCTGCCGGAGGAGCCCCCCAGCAAGGGGGCCGTGAAGGAGGAGAAGGGCAGTGCTGAGGAGGAGGAGGAGGAGCTGTGGTCGGACAGCGAGCACAACTTCCTGGACGAGAACATCGGGGGCGTGGCCGTGGCCCCCGCCCACGGCTCCATCCTCATCGAGTGTGCCCGCCGGGAGCTGCACGCCACCACGCCCCTCAAGAAGCCCAACCGCTGCCACCCCACCCGCATCTCGCTGGTCTTCTACCAGCACAAGAACCTCAACCAGCCCAACCACGGGCTGGCGCTCTGGGAGGCCAAGGTGAAGCAGCTGGCCGAGCGTGCCCGGGCCCGGCAGGAGGAGGCCGCCCGGCTGGGTCTGGGCCAGCAGGAGGCCAAGCTCTACGGGAAGAAGCGCAAGTGGGGGGGCGCCCTGGTCGCCGAGCCCCAGCAGAAGGAGAAGAAGGGGGTCGTCCCCACCCGGCAGGCCCTGGCTGTGCCCACAGACTCCCCAGTCACCGCGTCCTCCTACGCCTACACCAAGGTCACTGGGCCCTACAGCCGCTGGATCTAGGCGCTGGGAGCCGGCGTACCTCAGCGTCGGGCCCAGCCCGGCTGCCTCTGGTGCTTTCTCCCCCTCACCTGGGGGGCGGGTTGGGGGTGCAGAAGTTTTTCTATCGACATCGGCATATATAGAAGCTTATCTATGTATGTGTGGTCCAGACCTCAGAGCTGACCCGCCTCCCCCTCCCAGCACTTTGAAGAAGAAACTACCGCTGTCTGTCGGGTGTTGTGCTTCTCTGTTCTTGCTTCCCCACCCCCTTCTCCATGATCTTAATATTTATATTCCACCATGGGGGTGGTTGGTTTTTCATTTGGTTTGTTTTTTTCGCCACCACCCCCTTATTTGGGGGGAGGCGGCGAGGCGGAAGGGGTGCTTTTCATTTTTCTCCTTGTTTTTAAAATCCTATCCTTGTATATCACCTTAATGCAAAGAGAGTTTATAGTGTCCTTTCACAAAGGACTAGTTTTAAAAGTCCATTCAAAATGTGTATTTATTGGGGTTTGTTTTGTTTAAGGCGACAATAGTAATAGTGAATGGGCAGCAGGAAAGGTTTGGCGGTGCCTGTGGCTGGGCCGGTGCCAGGCCCGGGTAGGAGTCCCAAGGGTCCCTGGGTCATCTGTCCCTCTTGTGCTAAGTGCAGGTTGCAGCCACCGGGTCCATCCCTCAGGACAGCCTCTGCCCTATCCTGGAGGCTCGGAGTTGGGGAGAGAGCGGGGTGCATCCCCCGGCAGGCACTGAGATGCTGGCACAGATGTCCCTAGATCACCAGGTTGGAAGCAGACCGCCACAAGCTTGCTAGTCTCCACACTGAAACCTCTTGTCTGTCACCCGTCAAGTCACGGGGTGTCACGATTCCCTGGGCAGCACCTTACAACGGAGCTGGAGTCCAGACAGCTCTCCGGAGCCCGTTCTGCCAAGTCGACAAGCCAGTTAACCCTGGGCTGAAGGAATTGGTCTTAGTGGCAGGGGGTTTTATTGTTTTGTTTATTTAATGCCCCCGCATGCCCCACCCCCCTCCAAAAGTCTATGCTGATACCGGAAAAAGGGCTACTGTATCTTTAAAAGCAAGAAGTCTGAACCCAAGCTGTGAAAAGCCAGCGGTTGCTCAGCTGTGCAGAGCCTGGTGCTGTAACCTTGTGCTGGGACTTGACCCCTGCAGGTGATACCCTGCTGGGTGGGGCTCAGCACGCCAGGGTGAGGGCAGTTACCGCATCCTACCCTGTCCCTGGAATCCCACGTTGGATCATGGTGCATGCCTTGTGCCTGAGCCGGGCCCCCACCCCCCATGCTCTCTCTAGGTGGGGGTGGGGCAGGGTGGAGGATTACCCTCTAGCAGTCTTTATGGTGCAAGAGTCAAACCTTTTTCAGCAGGTTGCTTTGGTTTTACTCCGTGATTGGTGCCATGTCGGTTTTGATCATCTCGTCCCCGTCCCCCCAAGATTCTGTGCATTCATTGAGTTTCCTTGGCAGGAGGACGCGGTACAGTCATGTGTTGTGACGTGTCCAGAGAAGTGGGGCCTGATGGGTGGAAACCGCCTCACTCGCGAGTCGGCCTGCTGGGGGGGGATGAGTTTCCTGTGCGGGGAGCAGAGTCCTGCCAAGCTCCCTGCCCAACCTGCAGACCTGCGCGGTGAACAGGGGGAGATCTCACCCGCCCCCCCATGTGTACATCAGGACCCCTGTCCCCCCGCAGGGGGAGAGTTGGCCACAAAGAAATGAAAACCCAGCCCCGCGATCAGCCTCGTGTTTATCGAGCCGTTTCGTTCCCGACGACGAGCCTAACAATCGGATGACGATGCTGGAGGCACGTTCCTGCGCCCCCAGGTGCCTTGTGTAAGAGCCGAGAGCCGGCCCCACGGGCCGGCGTTCTCTGTGACCCGTCCTGAGGTGCTGGCGGGGAATTGCTGTCCAATGCCCGGAGCATTTATGTGGTCTGGTTTTAACTGTAAATAGTGAAAAGATTTTTTTAAGCACTTTTGCCTAGATTTAAACAGCAACTTGAAAAAAAAAAAAGGAAAAGTTAAAAAAAAAGTATGTTTTCACATGTAATTGTGGGAGACTTGTACATAGTAGCTGAATATTTAAACGTGCTTTGTCTATCCTTCCCTTTTCCCATATTCTGTAAAGTCGCATTTATTTTACAGGACAAAAAGAAAGAAAGAAATATTATTGCTTTTGAAATAAATACCCAAGAGCTTATCAGGATTTAGGATTATCCAGAACTACTCAGATTTCTCGGAAAACCTCTGACCTTCCGATGGACGAGCTTAAAGCAGGCCGTGTTTTTAATGAGCATGCTGAGTTTTCTAGCCTCGAGGGAACGCTTGGCCCTCCAAATGCTATTTTGCTGATCGCATCAGTGCTTTTACGCAGGTCTCACGTTGACTCGTGCTTAGGTAGATGCGGGGGTGCCTTGAAAACTTCCTTTTAAATGATCTTAAGCAAGAAATACAATATTTTACAAAACCATGTTTGAGAATGTGTGGCCCGTGGACGCCCCAGGTTGACTGTTGGTTTGGAAGGGGCCCAAGTGGGCCCCGGGTGGCTCTGGTACTGTGGCACGAGTGAATCTTCCCAATGTGTGTTAAAATATACTTTCCCCCCTCTTTCTCGCCCTCCGGTAGCAAAGCCATTCGATGAAAGGAGAAACCAACACAGGCTGACCGTGTGTGACTTTATGCCCCCACCCCGCTGCCCAGCACGGCCTTTGGCTCTTAGATTTCTAGGGGAGGAAGCAGGATGCTGAGGAGGGTCAGGAGGCCATCCCACTGGACGCCCCATCCCCCTCCGGACGGTGTGACGAGAGAGGTGGTGCTGTGGCCCTGCTTGTGCCCATGCTGATGTCTACACACTACACGTATAACCTACCTCAAACCTCAGTCATTAAAGGAGCATGCTTTAGACGTACCTTGAAAAAGTAACTATGCACACAGCTCCCTGTCCCTCCTGCCCCGCCCCGCGGCCCCCCCACCCCCACTCCCCTTGCTGCTGAAGGTATCTTCCAAGAGAAAAATCAAATCTTTTTAAATTTCTTACTGGCACGCTTTTGGTTTTTTCCCCCAAGTCCCGAAAGACGATTAAACCGACATCTCGATCGTGAGACGAAAAATAAAGCCATTGCAGCTAAAGAACCGAACGGCACAACCACGTTTTAGCCGTGGTTCTGTGGGAGCCAGGACAGGGATGGCGGCCCCAGCGCAGGGGCCTCAGCTTCCCTGATTTTTTTTTTCCTTTTCTCTCATGCCAGGGAAGTCCTCACCAGGTTCTGTGCTAGGAGATTTTGTAGGCAAAAACCGCTTCACAGCAAGTTCTCACAAAGTAAACTGGTGCTAGCTCAAGGACCCATGACCTGACCATCCGATGCCGGGACCAGTAGGCAGTCCATGGGCTAGGGGGGCACCGGCTGGTCATGGTCATGGTTATGGCTGGTGGTGACTTTCCCTCGCCCTGGCCTCATGGGTGCTGGGTCGTGTCCTCTCCCCACGACCGCAAGAGGTGCCTGTGGGAAGAGACGGATGCCCTTGCCCCCTTTGACCCTTCCACCAGCCTCTCGGAAACGGCCACCTGCAGAGCCAGGGGTTTTGATGGCAGCCCGAGGGCAGGGCAGGTGCTCGGGCAGAATCGCACCGCGTGGAGCACTGCAGGTGTGGCTGGGTGGTAGCCTCACGTGGTGGACAGGAATCCAGCCAGATGTTGTCCTGGGGGTGTGACCCCCGTGATCTCTCCAGCCAGGGCAGTGCTGGTGGACCCCTAATGTGCCCCACCCAGAAGGTCCTTCCTTGGTGACCGAAGTGTGCTTGGTAGAGTAGGAAGGTTTGTATGAACTGAAAGCGTCCATGTAAAATGGTGCTATGGTACCTTCACGTGACTGCCCCATCCCGTCTCGCGGTGCTACCCACGTCCTGAAACCCAAACCAACCAAAAACACGGTGGGCTTCGGCCACGCGGCGCTGTGGCGGTGTCCGTTTGGGTAGGGTCATTTGTGGGGTTTTGTTTGTAACCCCCCTTCTCCGGTGCTGTCTTCTCAGACCTCTGTTTACCGTGCTCTGTCTGCGCTGAGTGGTTCTCAGTCTGGTGCCCCGCCCTGGGCTTGGCGGTCAAAGTCGGGGTGGGAATGGGGGGCGGGAGCAGCTGGCTCTCTGGCTGCCTAGGGGAGGCGGGGGCCCATCGGGCATGGCGGGCCCTTTGCTTTCAACCCTGTTGTCTCAAGTCTTCTCAGGCCTAAGGAGGAGGAAAGGTTGAGGGGCTGCTGGCTTCTCTGTTTGGGTTTGTGAGGAAGGAATCGGGGCTCTTGCCCCTTCTGTCATGGCAGGCATCAACGTGACCAGGGACCCGTTCTCCCTGCCGCGGGGTGCCCAGGAGACCACTCCGGGCATCCCGAGGTTGACCCGCGGGTCTGCTTCCTTACTGGCTGAGACCCGGGTGGGCAGGGGGACATTGCTCTGTCTCTCCGGCCCTCCGGCTGTGCTGCACAGCCCCCTCTTGAGGAAGGTGCTTGTTCTGCTCGATGAAGCCACGGGGGCTGCTGCGTAGCTGGTGCTATTATCCACCCCCCCAGGTGGTTTAAAATCTCAAAAGGAAGCTGTTTTATGTCATCCGCCGTCACAATTTTTTTTAATGCCTCCCAGACATTGTGACAACTAGGGGAGGTTCCCATGAGGGCCTGAGACACCTCCAGGTTGCCCTCCTCTGTGGAAGACCCCCAGGGTGGGGGGCGGGGAGATCATCTGGGTGGTGGTTTCTCCAGCAGCTGAAATGGCCAGCCACCCAGAGGTGCGCTGTTAACTTGCGTTTTGCTTTTGAATTAAATGTGAATTTCCGGCTAGCTTGTCAGCCTCGGGCGGTTGCTGTCATCTGAGAGGGTGCCCTCTGAGCCTCGGGTGACCGGCTGGCCTCAGCAGAGCCGATGGACCGAAAGGAACACTTTCCAAGGGGTGCCCTTGTGCTACAATCCCACGCCTGGGTGCGGGGCATGTGCACGGTGAGAGAGCCGGGCGGAGGCCTGCCTGAGTCCGTGAGCGCTGTGGCCGGGCTCCTCGCGGCTCCCAGTCCGCTGTCAGGGATGCTTTTTCAGTGGTTTTGTTGGCTCGCGCTTCCTGCCCGCGACTACCCGTCATTCAGGGATACCCATCGCATGGGGAACCGAGGAAGTATGAATTGGCTCCTTCCAAACATCTAAATTTTCTTGGTTTCCAATACCTTTTCTTGGTTGTTGTGTTGTTTTGTTTTGTTTTCCCGAGGGGGTCAAGGGGGAGAACAACAGGATTGTCGTTTGTTTTTCCGCGTCTTCTAATGGAGAAAGGGCAGGTCGCATTGTGGCATATTGAGAATGCATTAGGTAGCTTTTCGGTGTGTTTAATTTCTTCTTCTCTTTGTTTGGATTCCTGTTTGGTTACTTGGCTTCCAGCGGAGGTGAACTTACCATACTTGAATATTCCGTCTTGACTTTGTAACTGCGGCTACTTGAAATGAAGTTTTATCTGGGGTTGATGGATGAATGGTAGGTTTTTGCAATGTCTCAAGGCAATAGGATGTGTATTATTAAACTGTAGATATTCTTAGTACAGTAAATTTATGCCGATAATTTTATTTTGTATAATTTTTACCTTTTTGGTTAATTTTTTTTCTCTCTCCCACTTTATTGGTTTGCCTCCTGAGAGACCCCTCTTTTCTTCCCTTCCTCTCCCAGTGTTTCGGTAAATTTAATTTAGGGTGCCTAGCAATTGCAAGTATGTATCTTTTTTTTTTTTTTTTGATTTGTATTTTATTATAATTTACACAAACAACTGGGTTTGTGAACTGTATTACTCCTGGTATCTTTAAAATATTGTGGGTGTTTTAATAAATTTTATATTTATTTTTTGCACTCAAATTCAGTGTGAGTCTTTTTCTTCCCCGCCCCTCCTTTAAACCACCAGACTGGGATTTAAAGGGTGCCCCAGAGCCATCCCCTTCCACCTGTAGGTGATGGGTGCACACGTGACGCTCTAATGGGAACCCAAGGTCTGCTAGCCAGGGCGGCCCCCCGAGTGTTGTTCAAAGACAGTTAGCTGTTAAAACTGGGCACACAGGAGTGTAAGGACATCTCAGGTGGTGCAGACAGTTGCGCACGTGATTATCAACTGAAGTAAGTGGGGTGGAAGTCACCTGAGGCACCTGGGAATGCAGGCCTGGCCGTCAGCTCATGGGGGTGTTGGGAGCACCACCTTGAAAGCCCTGGGGTGTAGTTCTCTATCTCGGGGTCCTGTTAGTCCACTGGACAGCAACCAACATGTCTCTGTTGTCTTTCCCCAGTATACTGTGGCCCCCACTTTTCACTCCCTATTTGGAAACGCTCTTTCCCCAGTAAAAATCGCTCACATCTGATGGGATGTTTGTACAAGGATTGTGGAATCTTTGCTGGCTTTGACGGCTGGAATTTCACGTCCTGCAGGGAGGGGCAAAAGGGGGGCCCTTGACTGCTGTCGCTAGGGCGAGGGGGGAACTTCTAAGAGGGCTCCCCAGGTGGAGCTGCCGTCGTTTAATCCGACTTCAACTCTGGGGTGACGGATGCCAACAGACAGCTATAAATAGGAGAGGTGGAAGGGGGAGACTGTCTGCCATCCTTCCTCCGGCTTGCCATGTCAGGCTGCAGCCAATGTCTGAGAAGGCGGCCAGCCCAGCCGTGGATAGAGACCTGAGCTCTCATTCCAGTTGCCGCCAGCCTCCTGGCACGGAAGCTAATCTCTGAGAGCAGCTGAGGGAAAGGAAAGGGTGGCCTCCTAACCAATGAGCCGGACCACAGGCCTGCCGCTGCCGGTCTCCGTTTTATTTCGCTTACAAAGGAACTTTCTGGAAACTCCCAGGTGAGTCGTCCTTTTGAGGACCCTTGTGCTATGCTGTGTTTCGTCATTTTTGCTTCCCCACCACCACCACCACTTTGTATCGAAAGAGGCCTGACCTAGTCCTGCCCCTGGCCCCCACCACTGTCAAGTTGCTTGCCCCACCTCAGGCCTGAGCAGGGACAGGAGATTACAGCTTCAGGAAATGGATTTCACTCCT